CATATCCTTGCCTCAGCCTGTACCATGAGGAGAATCACAGGGAATATTGGTTGTATACTGATCATCTGCACTCTTCTTCTTCTGTGTTCACCTTTAAAAGGGTAACTGGTAAGCTGAGTTGTGGTTTACAGATGCCTGAAATATATAAAACTTTTGGCCAAACATATTCCATTTCAGCAAACCCTTAAATAAACCATTAAATAGTTGCCTTTTATGACATGCTTATTAAGAAGCGGTGATTTTATTCTCTTTTTCCCCCCACTCAAAACTTTCCAGAACCCACATGAGGACTATCACATCGGTACAGTTACTAATTACAGCATAAGACAATCCCAATCAGCACAAAGAGACATCTTATTCACAGCATATTTATTCCAACTCTGTGCTACCAGTGCCAGACATGGTCACTCACAACAAACCATAAAAGAAAATTAGTAACCACGGAAATGAGATGTCTGAGAAGGGCTGTAGGAGTGACCATAAGAGATAAGATCAGGAATGAGATCATAAGAGAACAAGTCGGCACAGAACCAATTCTGGATTACATACAAAGACAGCAAGTGAAATGGTTTGCCCACTTAGAGAGAATGCCTTGTGACACCATACCATACAAAGCATACATGGAAAGAGAAGAAGGACGTAGAGCACGGGGTAGACCAAGAACAAGATGGAAGGATAACATCAGAGAAACTCTACAACAGCACGATGTGCCTATGGTCGAGGCAGCGAGAAGAGCTAGAAACAGAACCTTATATCTCCCTCGACACCCACAGCGGTAAAAGAGGAAGTGAAGAAGAAGAAGAAGAAGACAGTTACTAATTGGGTAATCTCTTCACAGTCTCAACTTATTTTAAATATGTACACTCAAGGTACCTCAAGCTCTTCTCTTTGAGCCTTGAACTTATCCCTTTGTAATGCCACCCCTCGCAGTGTCACAATAATGGCAGCTCCCCCACATAAACATGGTCTGGTTTCTGAAATTAAAAACATTAATATAAGTTACCAGCCACATTATATCATAAGATTAATTATTGTTTAATTCTTTGCCTACCGTTGATTCAACCACTGACATGTGTTTCTGGTCTGCTAAGATGGTGACTGTGTTTTTCTTCTCTGTACTTGACAAGAAATGTGATAAAATGTCAAAGTTTGTGAAGAGATATGATTCCATTCTTGGTTGTTTATTTTTCTGAGGAGACTAGTTGCCACTAAGTAATCATTCATGAAATAGTGTGTTTAAATTCTTGGAGTGATGGTGTTTAGAGCAAAGAACTGTGTTACATCAAGAAACAATGGCAAATAAGTGTGGTGACCTACTTAAGTGTGTCTCTTGTTTTGTGTGGCTTGAAAGTATAAACACAACACACCCTGAAGGAAGTGTATAAGAAAATGGTTGATGGGAGGAGAAAATAAACAAGTAGAAACATATTCAGATACTTGATTAAGACCAAGCAAACCATATGCCCACAGAAATGTATGATGGATAATCGGCCCAAGAATCCAATTGTTAAAACTTAAAAAATATCCCGTTCTGATCGGAAGGTCATGGGTTCGCTCCCTGGTGGAGCCTGACTTTTTTCAAAAATGACCTTGACTCTCAGGTCGACCCAGCCTTGAGTGAGTACTGGGTGTAGTCCTGGGAAGTGAAGGCGGCCCGTGTGATGCTGACCACATCACCCATCTTGTGCCGATTGGTCTATAAAAATATAGGTCTAGCCCTATATGCTCTATACACCTAGAGGTGTGGAAAAGGGACTTTTACTTTTTTTTAAATCATATCTGTCCCAGATGCTTGCCTAATGGACTGAAGGTCATAGGTTCAAATCCACACTGTCAAATCTTTTGGAATTGACCTTGGCTCAACCCAGACTAAAATTAGGTACCAGGAAATCTCATAGGTAGGTGACCAGCATATTGTTGCCCCACCACTATTCAAGTGCAGCTTTGATCTATTAAAATAAAGTTGTGAGGTTTTGAACAACGGATCAACATCATGGCACACAGGGAGTAACCTGTAAGTGCTCCACTCTTTTTCTAACTCAAGTCAGAGTCCGAAGAAGCTCATCACAGTGGACAAGCTCTGTTGCACTGGTAAGGATCCTGAAATACTTTGGGTAGATTTGTAACTCCAAATTTTGTCCGGGCAGCGCGGTTTGGCTACTCTTTTCTATTTCCAACTGCCAAGGGATTTTTTATGTGTGCATCAATGCACATGGGCCTTCGATCTCACTACCCAGAGACCAGGGAGAATAACTAGAAGTCCAAGTCTACGTGAAAAAATCTCAGCCCTTATAGGGGATTGAACTCGGAACCTCTAGCACTCGAAGCGGACACCATGCCTCAAGACCACACAGCCCCCAAAAGAAAGGTTAAAAACATAGGTTTGAAATCATATGCTTGGTGCACCTCTGACATGAAAAGATCCTCTTCCTGTATTTTTTTAGAGATGATCGAAGTCTTGTGATATCATAACATACTCCTGATTCTTTTTCTTGTTTTTGTTCACTAGCTGTAAACTCTGGTGGAAAGCCCTGGTTATTTCTCTGCTTTTTGATTTTAGTCTTGTTCCAAGACTTAAGTGTTGTATGCACTATCCTTTTAAAGGTCTGGCTTATTTGTGTGCAGACTATTGGTTCTTTGCCTCTCAGGCATATGCATTCTAACTTCCAAGGAAATGTCAATCCTGTTTACGTTAGCCAAGGAATCTATTTCTCGGATGACCCTGAAGAGGTGTAAGTAGATACTGACCAGTATGCCTCTCAGGCATATGCACTCTAACTTCCAAGGAAATGTCAATCCTGTTTACGTTAGCCAAGGAATCTATTTCTCGGATGACCCTGAAGAGGTGTAAGTAGATACTGACCAGTGGGTCATGGTGCACAACCATGTGCGGTTCAGCATCTATGCATCTTAAACCATATCATACAAGACATATACAAAGGGACACAGAAGAGAGGGGCATAGAGTCCTAGGCAGACCAACAGCAAAGTGAAAATACAACATAAGAGAAACAGCACTATCAGGTGACTGTGATCAAGGAGGCCAGAAGAGCAAGAAACAGAACCCTTGGTATCTCCCTCAAAACCTGAGGTAGTCAAAGAGGAAGTAAGGGAAGGAAGTAGAAGGAATTAAATGAAGCACAAACCAAACTTCCACTGCTCTGTGAACACCCCTGCATTGGCAGACTTAAACACAAAAGGAATCTTCATAGTATCTCCTGGCAAAATGACATCTGTGAAGCAAAATAAAAAATTAATTACCACTCTGAAACTTCATTAACCAATGAATAGAAAAAAACACGTTTAAAAAAAACCGTTGGCTTACCTGTGGACTAATAATACAAAACACCTTCCGCCCCAAATAGTGTTTGTGTTTAGCCAGTGTTATTCTAAGTAAGTTTGTGTAAACAATGTTTTACTTGTACCAACAATTACAGTGACATTTAAAGTATTAAAAGTAGACGGACATGGTATAAAATAAAGTACCCTTTTCAAGCCATAGGCATATGGTGCTAGACCCAGATTTGTTTATAGACCAACAGATACTCAAAGAGTAAGAACATAAGCATCAGAGTGGCCGTCTTCACTTGACAGTACATTTCCCAATACCTATTGTAGGTTTCTCTGACTTGGGTTTCCAGGCTGACACATCCAAATTAATTACCTTCAAATTCAATGGGAAGTTAAAGTGGTGGCACGATATTGACCACTGGCTCAGTTAGTGTCGATTAGTATATAAATATAAGACACCATACATTGTTTTAAAACTGAGGTGGATTTGTAAAACTGCTTTCAAGTCTGCCCAGCAGGAAATGTTCCTGGAAGCAAAGATGGCCAGTATCCTATTGAGTGCATATCAAATTGAATGCTGGTGTAAGGATCTTCTGTGTTTTCTTTCCAATGCACTGTATAAGTTGGTCTTAATTTCTTTAAGTCTATTCTTGATACTGTTGTTCCATATCTGTGTGGTGTTCCTCTTGCTCTGTATCCATTACATTTCTTTAGCATGGCTCTCTGTGGCAGGAAATTCTCATCAAATTGCCACATCATCTCATATGTTGCTCTTTAATAAACTGCCTGATGTGTCTCAGTCCTTGTCTTCTTCTAATTTTTTCATTTTCAATTGTATACATTCTTGTTACTTCAGGAACTCTTCTAAGACATCTCATCTCTGTTATAATGATTTTGCATCAACAAGCTTTAGTAAGGGTCCATGTCTGACACTGGTAGCATAAAGCTGACCAAAAAAGTCTTACTAATTATATCTTGGTAGACAAAAGTATACTATGTGTCGAAAGTGGTGTTATTGTTATTTTATTTGTAATTTTATTACAACTTGAGACTGAAGTCTATTCATGCATTTAAATAACAAAATAGTTGTGCCATCTTCACTGCGGTGATATGCAGGGCTTTTTTCTGGCTGTGGGGTTGTTGTTGATGTTGTTGTTGTTGTAGATATCATTTTTATTTCAGCACCATCCCCATATGGTTCCTGGGCTCCATTGTGGGGAGACAAAGAACACTCACTACCCCTAACAAGCATATCGTAAGAGTCAACAAATTAAGGGTGTTACTTTCAAAGTCAGAGTGCAACAGCCTGATAGGTGAAGAACCAACAGTCCGCATTCAAATAAGCCAGATCTGTAAAGCGGATATGCATGCAAAACTCAGCTTCTAGAACATGACTGAAATCCAGAAGTCATTTTCCAAAACTTTTCTCTGGAGTTCACAGCCGGTGAGTACCAGCACCCCTTTTTAATTACTTTTTAGTTAGTACCGGCACCTTTTCTTTTAAAGGTAAAAAACATGAAGATCATATGGCCTAGTCTCTTCTACAGAATGATTCACGCACCACTCATACTGAAATACACAAAAATGGTCTTCTCTCAACTGCTCAAAGCAGAAATTTAACCCTGGTATGTAAGGGATTGTAAAAAGCATTCACTAACACCAAGCCACAGTCATGCATACACTAAGTGCTAGCAGTAGATTTAAACTTACCACAACTGTTGTTGAAATAAAATCTTGGTGTCATGTTCGGTGCAACTCCAAATGGATTCTCCTTGATAATTTTCTGTGTCCCCAAACAAAACAACAAGACATCTTACATTGATGGTTGTATTTCGTATTTTAAAATATAAAATAGTTGGGAAAATGTAAGACTGATAAACCTGGGATAGATGAAAACTCATTTTTTTTTTTCTTATTCACTGGCTGTAAACTCTGGAGAAACATTCTGGTTGCTCATCCACTTCTGGACTTTAGACTTGCTCCAAAATGTGAGTTTTGCATGCACATCCGTTTTACAGATGTGGCTTTTTTGTATGCAGACTTTTAGTTCCTCACCTCTCCGGAAAATGTAGTCCAACTTTTAAGGAAACTCCTCACTTAATCAACTTTTACAAAGTGTATATTAGGTGTAACTGGATGTATTCCTCTTCTTCTCCATGACTGGAAGCGGGGTCAGGAAAGGGGACCCATAGGGGGAAGACGAGATCAAGATAGTGATTAAAACAAGCAAGTGAAAGACCTTTTTCATGCAATTGGCACATTTGGCACATTTGGCATATAGTGCCAGACATTTATTTTTTTAACTGACTGATTGACACTTCATGGGTCATAGGTCAATATCATGCCAAAGATAGTGACAGCATTACTGTTAAAATATGGATGTATGAGTGTGTGTGCGTGTGTGCTTGAGTGTGTGAGTGTGAAAGTGAGTGCGAAAGTGAGTGCACATGTGTGTGGATGTATAATCAACAAAGAGATAACTAAAGCTGATGAACAAAGTAATCAATCAGGTGTAACCTCCATAATGAAGGCTGCGTGCAATGCATCTACAACACTTTCTGTCTCTCATCCTGGTGGAATACTCTCAAGGTTCAGGTCCATATTCTGACTTGTTCTGCCTATCCCTCCCCCCCCCCCTCCACGTTCTCTGTCTCTCATACAGTCCATACTTATATGTGGCACACAATAAACATATCAACTTGTTTTATTCTAATGTTTATTGATGTATTCAAATTTGAACTTACCTTCCAATCATAATAAATTGTGGTTGTGCCATCATTAATTAGTTCAAGAAAGGAAGTCACCTTGTCCTCGCTGAAGGTTTCAAAATTTATGATTGTTTCAAAGGCAACCTGGAAAACATGTAAAATTGTACAAAGTGTTGAATTATTACATATAGAACATGAAAGACAATAGGGGCTTTTGAAATATTTTGGCCATAAAGCACCATGGCTGACTGGACCAAATAATAGCAGAAGGCATAGAACTAGGAAGGAGGGGCAGGGGATGACCAACATAAAGATGGACACAGGATATAAATGACTGTGATTATGAAAGTATACAGTGCGGGCAGCTGACGAGAAAAAAAAAAAGAAAAATAATCTGCTTTGAGTAGATTTGAACCCAAGATCTTCAAGCCGACATGCAAGTATCTAGCTATTTCACAACTGGGGTTCCTAACTCATTCCATGTTCCAAATATTATATCTTGATCAGCAACTTTCCCAGGATGGGTTCCGGGGCCCCAGTGAAAGGGGAAAATGAACAGATCCAGTGTCTCCTAACAAGGACATCACAAAAGTCGTCTAATTAAGGGTGTTTCATTTGAAGCTGGAGTTCATCAGCGTGAAAGCTAATAAACAAACTAACCTACTTAAAAAAATAAGCCAGATCTGTAAAATGGATACACGTTTTCTTCCAGAATTGCTTGTTACCTTTCCTTTGGAGAAAACAGGCCGATATGAAAAAACACGGACTTTTCTTAACTCTTTGAGGCCTGAGCAACGCTGTATGTGTTGACTGAGAAGTTCCGATTTTGTCCAAATAATGTCTGCATCAATCATGTGTCCCATACATATTGATTTGCAGACGGCTCCGTATTCATTTCTAATGTTCGGAACTAGCATTAAAGTATTAAGGGAAGTCTACTCTAATGTTTTTCTTTGTTAAAAAGATCCCACACATGTCAGCATTCTTAACTGCCTTTTTTTTTTACACCACCCTCTCTGCCACTTTTGCAATAGGAAATTAATGTGAGCCAAGTCTGTAAAATTCATAGGCATGAAAGAGTTAACATGACTGATTATGCTAGCCATACTTGCCACGGCCAAGGGCTGTGGGATCTATTTTGCCCTGCCATAAAACTGAGCGTTCAGGTGGCATTTTAGGTGTGCTCTTATATCAGTGGAATCTGATCTCAAGACCACTAATCTGCAGGTGAGTGCTCCAGCCACTACACTCTAATGTAATATTTTTATCATTCTTTTTTGTCATTTTACAAACCTTATCTTTCATTGACTCATTATCTCCTGTCCACCTTGCTGACTGTTTATCAATCAAAAGCGATGGTCCAAAAACCGGATCCTTTCTTTCTCGCACAGAGGAGTCCTTCTGAAGTCTTTTTTGTGTTCAAGAGGGGGGGAAAAAAGATATTTGAGTTCTGTTAGTTACACTGGAATGATGTCAAAGTTTTACTTGTTTGAAAATTCTAAAAAAGTATACAGCATACAGAAAATACCACACTGTTTTATCTGTCTTTTATTCCCCATTGGGACACAGGCCCTCAACCAGTTCAAGTCTAGCACTGAGCTATGACCTGACAGAACAGCACTGGAGAAATACCCATAAATGCTCCATCCCTATCTTCAACATCTAGCGAAAAGTTCCAATTCTGCTGGTGCCAGTAGCAGTTTGATTATATGTCCTTTTTGCCTTTCCTCTGAGTGTAGAGTGTTTACCAGATCCTGTGGTTCCTCCTACCCGTACCATTCTCTCCAGACCATAATGATCTACTATGTCAAGTTTATTGCAGGCTTTTGTTTTTTAAATAACTGCTTGGCTTTAAGAGCTAAAGATGTCTATGGGATGAGATAGTTCTCAGTCATGTTTCAGACTTGTGTAGGGTTCTTATCACTTTGGGATGTGAGTGCAGGGACTGGAAAGCTGGTGCTGCAGATTCAGAAGTTCAACAAATGATTCATGACAATTCACGCCCAAGTGATGTGATTGTATATACAGATGGCTCTGTGTTGAGGGGCAGACAAATTGCATGGGGGTTTATAGCGAAGGCAAATGGATGTCGCTTGGTGCAACAAAGCCTGGCATATGATATCACAAAGTCTAGTTTGAGAATTGAGGTGGAGGCAGTCACTGCTGCCTTCCGCTGGCTTGAGAATCAGCTGTTCACACATGTTGTCATTGTAACTGACTCACAGAGCATGCTGAGAAAGGTGGAGACAGGCATGCTCCATGCAGAGTGACAAGCATCACTTCAGAGGTTCCAGGTAGCTAGCATCCTTTGGATATTTTTTCCAGGTAATGCTGGTGTGTTGGGAAATGAGCAGGCAGATAGACTGGTGGTTTTGCATCACTTGGTGGTAAACTGATGTATGACAAGCTGAATGTTGTGAGGGCCCTTTGGCAGTGAGTAAACAGTGCAGAGGAACAAATAAATCATTACGGTCTGAGGAGAATGGCACTGCAAGGAGTTAAGGGGATCTGGCTGACGTTCGACACTCAGGGGAAAGGCGAGACGGATATACAACCAGACAGTTACTAGTACCATCGGAATTTTAACTCTTTGCTTGCTGCTGAAGGTGGGGACGGAGCACTTATGGGGGTGTCCTGAGTGCTGTGATGTCGATTCTTAATTCAACATTCAGTTCTCAATAGACTAGAAATAAAACAAAAAGGATATAAAAAAGAGACAAATATTTAAACTATATTGAAAGATAGAAACAGGTTAGTTGCTTATCCTTTACAGGATGTTGCAGAACTAATCCCAGCATTTATTAGCCGCTTGTGATTTCATTTGCGAATTTTACATCTAATAGTTAGCCACTGCTTTCAGAGTGGGCTCCCTCCATACCACAGTCAAAAGTGACACCAAAGTGACACAAAAGTGACACTAAAGTGACACAAAGGTGACACAAAAGTGACACCAAAGTGACACCAAAGTGACACAAAAGTTACACAAAAGTTACACAAAAGTTACACTAAAGTGACACTAAAGTGACACTAAAGTGACACTAAAGTGACACAAAAGTGACACAAAAGTGACACAAAAGTGACACTAAAGTGACACAAAAGTGACACTAAAGTGACACTAAAGTGACACTAAAGTGACACTAAAGTGACACAAAAGTTACACAAAAGGGATACAAAATGGTCTGCTGCTAGACCGCACACAGTTGGAATCAAACCAGGTACCCCAGAATTACAAAGTGCGTTCACAACACCTAAGCCACAGACAACATAGAAAGAGATAACAGTCTTATAAAAATCAAACTGGAGGAAATAGATGAAAAAACAAGTGAGCAATTGGCAGACAGCAATACAAGACACCATTTTAAAAAACACCCAGGTTTTTCAGAATTACAAAGCACGTTCACAACACGTAAGCCACAAACATTGAAAGAGCTAACACTTTTAAAAAACCAAATTGGAGGGAAAAGATAAAAGCAAATGAGCAATTTGCAGACAGCAATACAAGACAACATCAAAGTATCGTCTAGGAGAGTGTACATCCAAGATGAAAAATAGAATATGTTGGAGATCTATTGCAACTAACCTATACTGTGGAGATGGCCCTTGATTAATTGACAGGATGGGTAGAAAGTCTCAAGTTGTTGTTTCTGACAATAGTTAGGCATTGCATTTTTCTCCATATATAGACTGAAAGGATATAGCTCCGTTCCCAAGTTACTGAGTTGAGTACATTGCGTGACACTGTGAGCTGCGATTTCATTTGTCGTTCTTTTCAACTGTGCCTAACGTGGTTTGCATTGTGAACTGTAGAAAATGGCTGGTGTCTGTTGCCAAAAATCTGGTTGGTGCGATTTGTGATTGATCAAATGCGCAGCTACTGATCTGTTGCAACTGTTGCAACCATTGATGCTGAACTGAATATTTAGTGTTAGACTGTTTGTGTTGATGTTTCTGATAGCTGCCTTATGCATTTAGTGCATGTATATGCTATTGGTTTGCTAAGGCTGCATGTGTGTCAATTTTTGCAGAAGAGACAGTGATGGACACTGTGTTTGGTTTTTAGTAAAAAGTAAATAAAGGACCCTTTTCCACGCCTTTAAGTGTACAGGGCATATAGGGCTAGACCTATATTTTTTAGACCAATCGGCACAAGATGGGTGATGTGGTCAGCATTACACCGGCTGCCTTCACTTCCCGGGACTGCACCCGGTACCCACTGAAGGCTGGGTCGGCCTAGGAGCCAAGGTCTTGTATGGTTTTTACAGGCACAGAAATAGGGCAACTATAGAGTACCCATTCGCTACAAGGTTGGAACTTTAATTACATGATAACCTAAACAATATAAAAATACCTGCAAACACATATGATAAAGTATTTTTTTTTTTTAAATTCCACCCACAATTCTTCACTTTCATCAGATTCACTCTCTGCAACGTCTTTGTACTCTGATCTTATTTCCCCATCCTCATTGGAACTGTGTGGTCTTGTACTGAAAACCTCACCGCCATCCATATCTGCATTCACAGATGTAATGTTTGGCTTGTTTGAGCCAACAACCTGTAGATCGTCAAAGTCCTGCAGAAGACAACAGATTCATGATTCAGGTCAAAGACATAAAGGTAATTTGGCAAAATACTGTCACAAAAATGTCAAGTTCCTTGAGTTGGTTCCAGGCTCCTATTTGGAAAAGGGGGGGGGGGGAGTAAGAATAGACCGACAGCTCCTCAACAAGCCTATCATAAAAGGTGACTAATTAAGGATTGCTGAAATCAGATATGTTATACTGAAAGGTGCAGATATCACAGCCTAGCTGTAAACCATAAGATAACAAGTTAACCATGCTTTAAATGGAAAATGAACAACAAAAAGGCAAAATGCAGAAAGAAAAGAAGCATCAAGTTGAAGAATTTATATATACAAGACATATAGAAAAACCTCGTTAACATAAATTCAAAGGACGAAAAATCGAGTTCCCGTTTAAAAAAAAATGCTAATAGAGGACTAATAATAATATAATAACACCTCCTCGCAGGGATCTTTGGGGGTTTCTGTGGTGAAGTGGTCAAGCTGTTTGCCTTGCCTGCTGAAGGTCATAGGTTCGTTTCACGGTGGTGCCGATCATTTCATGAGTATGGAGGAACCTCGCTGTAGCTACAAAGTTACGTGCGGACGGCGACACAGGCGGACAGTTTCTCATCAGCTGTCGGTACTGGTGGCAGAGCACTTATGGTTTATAACCATGTGCAATGACACTGGTTCACATCTCCCGACTTTACCTTTTTTTAGTTCATGAGTGCAATTTTTACGTAGATAACTGGGGATCATCTTTTGAGCTACAGAGGTCATGCTGTACACGATGCTCTTGGCAGGCATCTATGGAGAGAGACTGAGCCATATGGGATAAAACCTGGTGCAATGAAGTCGATCCTCTCATCTTTATGTCTAACTTGCTGAAACAAACATTTTATTCATGTTAACTAAATGTTCTTCTTAAGCAGGTTCATGCTTATGAGGTTTTACTGTAAAATGATATGACCACAATCTGTATGGGTCACTGAGTGAATTACAAAAGACAGTGAAGTTCATACTCGAAACAACATTGCAGATATAGATAATCTATTTCAAGTGAACAAAAGAAGAAGATATTACCCACATTCATCTTTGCCATCTTGTCTTCCCCCACCAAAAATTATCTGGTAAATTTTTTACGAAGCTTGACTGATCCCACAATCCTATCGGTTGGGGAAAAAAGGGCATCTAGAAAAAAGGCAGCTGAACAGAGAAGACAGGCTAGAAAACCCCGCAAAACAGGTGCTTTAGTTACAGATACTGTTCCCTGCCTTAACTGTCCTAGATCCTTCCCGGCCTGTAAGTCACCTCCAGACTCAGAGACAGTCAACTACAGTTTGATGACAGATGAAAGAAAGAGTGCTTTTCATCACGTGTGATGGATAAACAACAACAACTGCGTGGAAAAGTCCATCTGGAAGTTGCATTATCCAGATGTGTTAGTAAATCATTTGAAATTTCAGCACCTAGAGCTGGTCAAACTGGCAAGTATCCCACTGTTGAATAAGACTGTCATATGTTCAAGGGTTGCGCCACCTTAAAATGACTGGAAACCACTGCTTTAAAGAGATATGAATGTCTCTATTATCTGGCAGGACAAACGATGATGATGAAGGTAATATTTTTGCATTATTAGTTATCATAAATTTAATTCTTCGAGACTATAAATGCTTACAGGTTTCCATGAATCAATTTCATCTATAAATGGCTGCAGTTGCTTTAATCTTTGGTTTAGATACTCAGACTTATGCCAGGGGTAGCTGACGTAAACATTCTCTTTTCCTGACCAGTCACAGCCTGAATCAGAACACAGACTTTGATTATAAAGATTGAAAAAGTATGAATAATACTGTTAAAACAGTTTAACAAAAATAGAATGACCAGACTAGCAGAACTAAAATAGTGAGACAAAATAGCAGGAGTTATATAGTAAGAATAAAATAGCAGGACATTTAGTGAGACTAAAACAGCTGAAATAAAATCCAGGATTATAATAGCTAGACTAAAATAGCATGGCATATAGTGGACTAAAATAGCAGGACATATAGTGGGATGGAAATAGAAGGGCATAAAGTGGACTAAAATAGGTGGACTAAAATAGGTGGACATACAGTGGGACTAAAATAGCAGGCTTAAAATAAATAGCTGGACTAAAATAGCAAGACATAGTGAGACTAAAACAGCTTGACTAAAATAGCAGGACATACAGTGGGACTAAAATAGCAGGCTTAAAATAAATAGCTGGACTAAAATAGCAAGACATAGTGAGACTAAAACAGCTTGACTAAAATAGCAGGACACATAGTGGGATTAAAACAGCTTGAATAAAAAATCTGCACATACAGGGGACCTAAAATAGTTGGAATAAAATAGTAGGATATTTAGCAGGACCAAGATAGCAGGACATTTAACAAGACTAAAATAAGAGGACATACAGCAGAACTAAAAAAGCAGGACATATGAAGTTAGTTGCGTATCCTTTACAAGACTTTGCAGAACCAACCCCAGCATTTTTTGGCTGTTGTAGTTTTTGTAGACAAATTTTACATTCAGTAGTTTGTCATTGCTTTTTGAACAGTCAGCTCTCGGTACCACTGCTGAAACCAATGCAAGATAGACTGCTGCCAAATCGTCAGCAGCTGAGATTGAACCTGGCACCTGGGCATTACAAAGCACACTCGCAACACCTAAGCCATAGACTCCGACAAGTGGCTATATAGCAAGACTTCAAACCACAGGACATTTCAAAGTTAGTTGGGTATCCTTTACAGGACATTGTGGAATTGCGGAACCAACCCTAGCGATTAGTGGCTGTTGTGGTTTTTGTTGGCAAATTTACATCCAGTAGTTTGCCAATACTTTCTGGACGGTCGGCTTCTCTATACTACTGTTGAAACCAATACCCGCAGCTGGGATCAAACCTGGCACCCTGGCATTACGAAGCTCGTTCGCAACACCTAAGCCACAGACGCCGATACAGGACATGTAGCAGGAATAAATAAGCGGGACATACAGCCCAGCTTGAATGGCAAGATGCTTGCCTGTGAGCATAAAGGGCATAGAGTTAAATCCACATCTGTTTTTTTTTAAAGACAAAAATTGACTTTGGCCCTTAGCTTGATCCAGTCAGAGATGGGTAACAGGAAATGTTCTCGGAAGTAAAAGTGCCCTGTGTAAAACAAACTACATCACCCACTGAGGGCTGGCTGGTCTATAAAAGTGTGGATTAAAATGTGGATGTAGCATTATATGTCAGCTGTGCCACTGGCAGAAAAGAGATTCTTCATTCTCCCATACTGAAGTTGGAAAACATCTCTTACCTTTTTCTTTCTTCACAATCTTGGAGAGTCCCACATGTTCTATTGGGTGTGGATAACCTTTCTGAGTCTGCGTCAAGGTCATACTGGAAATGAACAGTAACATTTTAATCTTTATTTTTCCACACTGCTTAAAACTTAGTGCTGTACCATTTAGTTACATTAGTTTCTGTTCTCTTCTTATTTGCACTGACTGGCTAACAGTTCTGGTGAAAACTTCTGGTTTTTCATCCACTTCTAGACTCTAGTCTTGTTCCAGAACCTGAGTTTTATGTGTGCATCCATTTTACAGATCTGCCTTAATTGTATGCAGCTTGGTTCCTCACCTCTGAGGCAGACGCACTCCGACTTTGAAGAAAACACCACTAATTAGTCACCCTTCATGCCAGGTTTGTTGGGGGAAGGGTCCCTCCGCCAACACCCCCCCCCCCCCCCCTTTTTACCACTACCACCACCACAATGGGGCCTGAGAAACCACACTGGGAATTAGTTCTAGTAACAAATGGATGCATCTATTTACCATTTTTGTAAAACACCTACACTGACAGTAACAGCAAAGATGCCAGAAAATCAACAAAGGACTCTTTGGTAATAACTAGGCCTTGATAGCAGATACAGCCATAAAACTGCAACAACATCTCACAGCCATGAGCGAAGAATAAAAAATAAATAACATGAGTATCAAAGCTGAAAAAGAAAAAGTAATGACACTAGGAAGAATGTTGAATGTTGAATTAAGAATTGACATCACAACACTCGGGACACTCCCATAAGTGCTCAGTTGTCACGAGGAAGAAAGAAGCAGTAATTAAATTTAACAACAGAAAACAAAGGTATTAAATGGGCATACAAGTTCAAATATCTGGTAACAACATCCATCGAAGATTACAAATTGGTTGTAAAAATTAACATCTGATGCAGTAAAGTTCAGATGCCATAAACTGTGCAAGGTTTTGATGTAGATTGTTGCCACTGACTGGGAAAAAAAAAATGTCCATCCTCTTGTTAAAGATTTAACCCAGGTCACCCAGGTGATGCCCAGCATTCATCTGCTTCTCTTCCTGAACCAGTACAGAAACAATTACTGAAATACCCAAACCTATACACAAATACTAAAGGAAACAGTCAAACCCATATAGAAATATTTCTATAACATGGACTCAAACAATACATTGCACAATTTATTGCCTGGGATATTTCACTGTATATCCTGAGCTGCATTGCTACAGCATTAAATCAACATATAATGAATTTAAAAATGATTATTTACTTATATACACGAATCAATACTAAAATATTTACTGAAATAGGTTAGTTGCATATCCTTTACAGGATGTTGTAGAACCAACCCCAACAGCCCCTGACTGTTGTGGAGTTTTTCTAGGCAAATTTACATCCAGTAGTTTATTTACTGAAATACCAGAACATATTTACTAAAATACCAGAAACAATATAAAAATACTGGAAATACCCGAACCGATTTATAAATACTGATATAAATACCAAAACCTTTGCATAAATATTTACTGAAATAAAAGAAACAATATAGAAATATAATAATTAATTGTCAATCCTTTACAGGATATTGTAGAACAAACCCCTGCATTTACTGGCTCTTGTGGTTTTTCCAGGCAAATTTTGTTTGCCTTTGTTACATACTAGAACCAATATAAAAATACTGACATAAATACTAGAACTATAGCATAAATATTTATTGAAATACTAGAACCATAGCATAAATATTTACTAAAATACCAGAACAGTACTGAAATATTAACTCACTGTAGACCTTTGAGATCATCTCCAAGTTGCTCTTGTTGAAACCAGAACTCACTCCCGATTCGATCTGTCAACAAATTAATATAACATTTGTAATTATTAAAAAAGTTAACATGATGTAATTTCAGTCTATGGAAAAAAAAGAATTAATCAATCAAGAAGTGACATCACTGCACTCAGGACATTCTCGGACGTGCTCCGTCTCTTTCCTTGACAGCAGATGAAGAGTTTCCATTCTAACAGCACCAAATGTAATCTGATTAAAAGTCTGCCTCCTCGATGAATTTTATCTAGAGCCCCAGCTTACTCCATGCTGACATAGGCTTTTAAGGTACGGATGTCTGTTTTACTGCAATGAACAGTTGATTTAAGAGAGCTTTCACCACATTCACTTTATCATAAAGTATCTCACTGCCCAGAGGAGTGACAGCAGCTTATATATCAGTGTGCTTGTTTCCCTGCAGTTTAAAATGTCATAAGACAAAAAAAATCCATGACATGCAGCTGATGTGGGTCTTATCAAGCAATGCAAGCCACTTTATGCATAGGACACCAGTTTATTTACTACTAAAACAAATATAACTTTGGTATAAATTTGACATTCAAAGTCTTTGTACTATAATGAGTCAAACTGTTTGAATTGCACACAAGAATAACTTATGGTTCAATCAACCAATCAATTGACACTTCTTTTGTACCTGGGTCATTGATAGTCTTTAGGTTAATGGCCTTTCCTGTTAACTAATAAAAATGCACTATCAGATAACTGCTTTTTTTTAAACAGTATATTTGTTTGAAGCATGCTCTGTGAGTCCCTTACAATTTTGGGCATGGCAGGCTCATGCCAACAGAAAGCTGCTGTTGCTGCCCTATCTTCATTCTCATACTGGATGTTGTGACGTTATAAGAGAGGCTCTCTGTTTTGAAACAGTATCTATTCAGCTTTGCAGTAACACCGCCCCCCACCCCCTAACCTCCACAGACCAATCTATGTAAATATTACAGTCACTTGAGCATGAATTTTCATTGATCAGCTGCTGCATTGCCTGTCTTTGCTTCACTAACTATCCATATGGGTAAAAAGAATAAAAACCACAGCATACAACCACACACACACCACCACATGGGCAGTCACAAAGTTAGCTTTTGACTGCCATGTTGGCATGGTGGCTAGACACTTGACTGCCAGCCTGAAATTCTTGGATTTGAATCCCCATCAAAGTGGATTTTACAATTGACCAAGGGCTACCAGATCGACCCAGCCTAAAATGAATCCCAACAAATGACCCAGGAAGAAAAATTGTTTGATGTGATGTTGGCCTCATTACCAACTGAGTGCTAAAAAGTTTATAAAAATTTGGGTCTAGCACAGTGGTGAGGAGCGGCTGGCCGAATGGTTAGAACGCTGAGCTCTCAAGCAGGAGACCCAGGTTCGAATCCTCGGTAAGGCTGGAAATGTTTTCTGCCGCAGAAAGAGAGTGACTTCCCTTCTCATTCATGCTTCATCGCATCACAAGGCCTCTTCGATGTTGCGAGGGTGTTATAATATGGCTTGGTTCAGTGTTCACTTGTTGTTTATAATATTTCTGGGAGGTTGTATTGTCGTGAGTCTCTTTGAGGTGCCTCAGGCACCTGTGTACAAGTGAGAAGCACTGCAGGGGAAAGTATCACATGCGCAACGATTCGTGAGTATCAAAACTAGGATGTTTTTATATTTCTCAGTTCATCGGCAGTGGCTTCTCCCCGAGACAGAAAAGACACTGACAAGGAACGTAGGAATAGAAAAACATAGCAGTTTCTATACTCCCAAACTGTTGTTCAGGTAGGAAAATGTGAAAATAATCACACTTGTGAGCAGTTAGAAGACGAGAGAAGAGAGAGCAGTTAAAGCATCGATAACAAGGCATATATGACACCCCCGCAACATAGAAGAGGCTGCATGACTGAGAAGGGAAGTCACTCTCTTTCTGCAGCGGAAAACACTGCTTGAACCCCCACCCCAATGCTATTTTTAGTTACTTGATAGAATTAACTATGTGTCTATAAGTCACTATAGACAAGTCAGAAAAGTGACATTTACAGAGAACTGGACCTAACTGGAAGTGCCAGTTTCGCGGCTTCTCAGGGCGAAGGGTTAAGGAATTAATTTCAACAGCACAAAAGAAGTTAAGATGGCACAAAAGAAGTTAAGATGGCACAAAAGTAGTTAAGATGGCACAAAAGAAGTTAAGATGGCACAAAAGTAGTTAAGAATGTTACAAGCATTTAGCATTGTTGCTGCTGAAGACATGGTGAGCCGCGTTGTCCAAAATGAGTGAAGAAAACCTAGAAAGTCATAATTTTATCATCTGTGCACTTACATCCTTTTCCATAATCTACTTTTGAAATTGTTCGATCAATCAAATATCTTTGCTCCTGGATAGTCCGATAGTTGTCAGACTGATTCATTGCCAGATTTTCTGGAGCTTTCTGAAGCAGTTCTGAAAAGCAAATGGACAAAATCAATGTCTTAGTATGTTTGAATATTTCTGCCTTTCCAGGAAGTATTAAAATGTTTTGTAAGGAGCCATAGGAATCACACACAGCACATGGCCATGACAAGAATGACTTGCAAGAACAGTCACGTTAAAGAAGTCAGGAACTGCTCCCTTGAGATTGTATTCCAAGACCAATTAGGAATAGAGATAAAGTGCTTCTTTTCCATAGCACAAAGCCTGGGTAGTATTGTGAGACCAAGAATTGAGTTGAGTTAGGTCAAGAATTCACATTACAGCACTCGGGGCATTCCCATGCATGCTCCATCCTAATCTTCAGTAGCCAGCTCAGAGTTCAATACTAATGGCACCGGTCACAATCTGGTTATATGTCCATCTTGCCTTTCCTCTGAGTATACTGAGCTGATAAGACCCACTGGTTACACCCAGACACCTTATTCTCTCCAGGCCATAATAATCTTCTATCTCTACTGATTCTTTTGTTTGTTCCCAAAGGGCCTTGACCACATCTGCCTTGTCATGTATGTGAGACCAGGTGTTGACCACAAGGCATAAAACCACTGTTTTCTCCAAAAAAAAAGTAACACCAACACATTTTGAACAAAACATGCTACAGAAGCTGCTAAGTCTGTCCATCTGTTGGAGCTTCCCTCCTAGACCAGCTGCCAACCAAGGCTAAGGATCTAGTTTGCCCTGCCAAAAAATTGAGCTTTCATGTTGCATTTTCTCATCCTAGGATAAGAATATTTTAATAATAATGTCCTTTATCATCATCATCCTGCTGTGCCATTCACATAAAACAAATATCTCCCAATCTAATTCTCAATGATCTATTCTGCACAATCTTAATGATATCATGGATATTCAGCACCTTTGGCCTTTCTTATCCATATTTATCTTAAGGTTTCTCTTAGATATTCTCATTTCACACTCCATCTGTTTCCCTTTTTACTGTCTGTTTGATATTTCTTTATCCAGTGTACATCATACGTTATTTGTAATTACCTTTTTTTTTTAACTGCTAGGTCCAAATCTAAATGATTTTACAAACTAAAGAAACAAGGAGCTGATTTGTGAAAAATTTAAAAGAACAACTGCTAGTTGAAGATACAAAAGCAGGCAAAGAACATATTTAAGGACATCTGAGTTTGGATTTAAGTGTGATCATATGAGGAGCAAAATCCTATACATTTACCAGTGTTTTGCTGAATCAATTAACATCTACATCTTATAAACCAAACAAGTACCATTGCCACAATGAAGGTTAGACACACTGGATCACCAACAGGCTGTTTCTCATTCTGGTTTTACATTCTTGAGGAATGTTATTTTTCCATTTCTTGACGTCAATCTGCCACTTTTATTGCTGATTACTTCTTGCTGACTTGCCTTCAACCTTTTTCTCCAGTACGGTGTTTATAAATGTGTTATGTCTGTGTCTGTTGCTTAAGTGTTCCTTTCATGCTTCACAATTCCGTGATTATTGATTTGATTCCAACTGCAGATGAACTGGCAGCAGACTGTTTTGCATTCCTTTTGACAATGGTATCAAAAGATGACTGTTGAGAAAGCAATGGCAAACTACAGAATGTAAAATTGCCTAGTAAAACTATAAAAAGTCAAAAAGTTGCTAGGTAAGGGATCCAGAACTTATTTTATGTCTTTTTGTGTGGCCAAAACATTTAGCTTATCTCTTTTTAAAATTATTTAAACAATTGTCTTTTCATTGCCAGTCTTCAGAACCTCTGTGTTTGATGACACCTTACAAGATGACACCTTACAAGATGACACCTTACAAGATGACACCTTACAAGATCACAACTTACAAGATTACAACTTACAAGATGACACCTTACAAGATTACAACTTACAAGATGACACCTTACAAGATTACAACTTACAAGATGACACCTTACAAGATTACAACTTACAAGATGACACCTTACAAGATTACAACTTACAAGATGACACCTTACAAGATTACAACTTACAAGATGACACCTTACAAGATTACAACTTACAAGATTACAACTTACAAGATGACACCTTACAAGATGACACCTTACAAGATCACAACTTACAAGATTACACCTTACAAGATTACACCTTACAAGATTACAACTTACAAGATGACACCTTACAAGATCACACCTTACAAGATGACACCTTACAAGATGACACCTTACAAGATTACAACTTACAAGATTACACCTTACAAGATTACACCTTACAAGATGACACCTTACAAGATGACACCTTACAAGATTACAACTTACAAGATGACACCTTACAAGATGACACCTTACAAGATGACACCTTACAAGATTACAACTTACAAGATTACACCTTACAAGATGACACCTTACAAGATGACACCTTACAAGATGACACCTTACAAGATGACACCTTACAAGATGACACCTTACAAGATGACACCTTACAAGATGACACCTTACAAGATCACACCTTACAAGATCACACCTTACAAGATGACACCTTACAAGATGACACCTTACAAGATGACACCTTACAAGATTTGCTGAGGAAGACTGAGTACCTATAGGTTACTGGGAGTGTTATACAGGTTAACAGGCATGACTGCAGTCAAGCTGATATAAAAAAAAAAAATAAACACAATACCACAAATTATGTCTAGAGAGCTCATTATGAAAGAAAAAAAAAGCACACAAATACAACTTGATGTTTCAACCGCAGTCTTTACCAACAGATAAAGCAAAAACTAGACTAATTAAACAACTGACAAGGTAAACACACACATCTAAATGAAAAAGAAGAAAAAATAGACAGGAAGTGCTTTTACAAAATTATGCACACACAGTAAGGAAAAAAAAGACGTGGAAGAAACAACACATTTTAAAAACAATTAAATAAAGATAGACCAAAAATTGATGCAGGATATACATGCAGGATATACATGTACATTGAAAAAAAAGAGACTCACTTGAAATATATCCCTGCTGGTTCTTTCTCTCCATCATTTTATTGTACCAGTTTCTTATAGAATTGGATTCAGTGTCTCTTGGATGTTTGTGTCTTTTCTTTTCATACTTCACTGTTGGAGTTCCTACATTTTCCAAGTCTCCTTGGGGTCTTGGCATATTCTACAAAAAAGATGCAAACATCTGTATCTACTGGTCAAAAATATTTGTTAACTTTTTCAGTTTCAGAAGATACAGAAAGAAAAAAAAAGGAAGAGTGGTGTTGCTGGCAAATAACCACTTAGAAAAATTACTACTGCACTATTTTTATAGTGAAAGATGGACTGTCGCACTTTGTAAGAGTCCTAGTAATAAAGAGGAGACTTGTGAGAGAAATCCAGCCTCTTTATAATAGAGTATCAACATTTCTTTGTAGTCTATGTGGTAGAGACGGCAACTCTCACACAGGACCTTAAGTCCTAGGAGATGCTGTTTCCAAAACCGACAGCACAATTTCATAGTCAGGAACTCACAGTTGCCTATAGTAAAACTAATAAAGAATTCTTGACGTCATTGAAACAGCATAACAAACAAGCTGATCTGTCATCTGGGGGTGACAGGTTCGATTTCTAGTACGGTAACAATAACTTTAGATCTGTATGTTGTCTGGAGTGTCTTTCTTAAACTACATCATTGCTCTTAATCTATAAATACCAATCAATACATGTAAGTTTGTTTATCATGCTAACTGTATAGTGGAAGTGGCCACAGAAAGAGGCAGATTTTATGTAGCTCACTATGACCATATTCTAGAGGACAATAGAGCAATGATTAGAAATCATAGGAAAAAGGCAAGCTCACATCAATGTATTGAAAGAGTTCCAATATGCATGGCAAAACATATATATAAAAAAAAAAAATTGCTGTTTCAGCAATGGAGGTTGGCTGTGGTGGGTACGTGCATCAATTGCTGTATTTTGAAAAATTACATGGTAAGACACCATCTCTTCCACAGTGTGAAGCTCGTGTAATTGTCAAAAAGCCTAAAGGAACAGTCTTTTTTCTAAACCACCTGTGATGGAATTGAACACAAGTAACTGGGAACTTTGAAACCTCTAAGCAAAAGAGCAGCATGACAATATATAAAGATAACATAAAACATGTTAAAACGTCAAATATCACAGGCAGGAATTCTTCTTCCATCAAGTCGCAGTAGAAGATTGTAAGTAGGTAAAAGAGTGTTTAAGATTTAAAATATCGAACTCTAATATCAAACCAGTCTTGCTAAATCATGGATAACAACTAAAATATTTACTAATAAACTACGAAAGTTTGTTAACTAAAGATTTAGTTGTGTACAGATGATCAGATCCCTGTGTGGGTTCCGGGTCTCCATTGTACGGGAAAACAAGAGTAGTCCCCCTGCTTACTCAAAAACATGTCATAAGAGTCGACTGACTGGGAGCTTCCTACAAAGTCAGAGAGCCTCTGTCTTGAGAGGCAAAGAACCAACAGTCTGCATACACATGAGTCAGATCTGTTAAAAAAAAACAACGTTGTGCACGCAACACCGGCTGTAAACTCTGATGGAAATCTGGATTGTTAGCCACTTTTTTCATGAACTTTGGTCTTGTTCCAGAACTTGAGTTTACATAGCTGACTTATATGCAGACTGTTGGTTCCCCGCCTCTCAGACAGGTGTACGCCAGCTTCAAAGGAAACACTCCAAACTAGTTCAATTTTACAACTGGCTTGTTAGGTGGTGAGGTGAACCAGCCAGTCTATCTGCCTGTTTGCTGCATGTTCGTTTCCCCGAGATGATCTATGAAAATCAAACCAGTCAGTCAGGCAAGTCACTATAGGTAAGGCCAAAAAGTGTTTTGAAAATAAATATTAAAATTCTGAAGTAAATCAAACAGTTTCATGTCATCATAACAGTTGCTACTGGCTGCAGTTTAAACCCTTTTCATACTGTTCATACTGCCTTTGAGATTATTATATGGTGATACATAATCTCTTCGATTATGTAAAAAGTAATACAAGCAGCGAGCATTAGGCATGTTCATACATAGTCTAGAATGCATATTCCAAATTCTAACCTGGGATACAACTCCTCTCCTAGTGGCTTCCCTGTAAAAATCTTCGTATGTTCCCAAAATTGAATAAGGAATCACATCCCCTGATTCTGTGTACTGTGGTCCGATATATTCTTCAAAATGACAAGAAGTTACATATTAATAAATGCTAAGAGAAAAGTAGCAATAAAACAAAATATTATTTGAATTTTACTTATAAAAGTAACAAAGAAATGTAGCAATAGAAAAGTTCATCGTAAAGACACTTCTGAAGTGTTTGCTCATTCTAAAATAAAAACTAGGACAGTGAACAACATGGCATCACTATATAGACACTACCCCACTCAGAGGTCAACAAGTTATGTTGTGTCTGTCGTTGTAGTGTGCCTCACTATAAATGTTTCAAATGCCACTGAACATATTATATGGCATTTGTTTCCACTGGACTGGCATCAGAATAGTGGCTCATTGAGTCACTGGATGTGAAACCTTCTGGTTGCAATATCGACATTTTTATATTTTTTTAACAAAGAGTGAGAAGGTTGGAAGCTCACAGCCTGCTTCATCTTCTGATTATCTGTCTTAACTTCAGTTCCATTTTCAAAAATGAGTGGACGTATTCAGTTTTTGAGACTTTTGAGACCTCCATAAATATCTCTATAAGTTTTTGACTGCTAGAACTGTGTTTGAAATATGTGGATCGTAATTCTATAAACTGAGATAAATTAAGTAATGACATTTGACCATGCAGGATAGTCCCATAATTGCCCTGTTCTCATTTTCAGCAGCCAGCGCAGAGTGCCTGTACCATTACCACTTGATTATATTTCTGTCATGCTTTTCTTCTGAGTGTTGATTGTCAGCCAGAAACCTGACCCCTTCCTGCTGCAATATTTTCTCCAGACTATTAGGATCTATTCACATTTCCACCCCTCACTTGCTCCCAAAAGGCCTCGACCACATTTATTTTGTCATGCATGAATCACCACCGTAGGGTGCAGAACCAGCCTATCTGTCAGCCTTTTCTTTGCCTTCATACTTCTGTGAAGCATATTCAACTCTCACCTCACATTTTCCACACACTTTTAGGACCAAGTTTCATTATGAACTTCTGATACAGGTAACCTTTGAGTTTGCAAGTCTTCAATCTTATTATGCCAGTTAGGCACACAGCATTAAACTACAACATATTATAGGTAATCACATAAAAAGGTTGTGGGAGAGGGAGGGGCAGTTTTCTTCCTCACCTGAAAAACTATCATGCACAAATGTTAATCATTTTGTCCTGAGAAGCCAAAAAAAAACCAGTACTTTCAATTGGTCCAGTTCCCCACAAATGTCACTTTTCCAACGTGTCTACACAGAACTGTTTCAACATCACACAATCCTTACTTCTTGGAACTTTACCTGGTACCCATTTACGGATGTCCATTGCTGCCATAATTTTGACAGCATTGAGTTCTTTTTGGCATTTCACCACAGCTGCCTTCACGTGATCCCTATAGGACAGGGTTCTATCGAAAGTAATACCCAGGTACTTCAGTTTGCTTTCTCTTTTAATGTTATTGTAAGGCTTGAAACATTAGCTCTCACAATTCTATTGTCCAGAGAGCACAGCTGCCTTTTCTGAGTTGATAACAGCACCCATTTCTGCACACCAGTCAGTCACTTTGTCTATAGTTAGTTGCCTGAAGCTCTTGGGCTATCCGTTGCCTATTACTTCCCTGCCTATATGCAAGAACATCATTAGCAAATGTCAATATCCTTCCAAAACCTGGTGCTTCAAGTTCTGCAATTTTGCTTGTATACACATTAAAGAGCACCCGTAAAATTGCAGAACCCTGGGGTAGTCCTGGGGCGATATGACATGGTTCTGAGGTCCCTGTATCCAGGCGAAGGGCAACCAATGTTTCTCTAAGCGAACTCAAAAACTTACCACTTTAAAATACTAACCTGAATAATCTATCTGCCACCTGGGGCTGCCATGTTCTGCCTGCTTGTTAACAGTGGAACTGACCAGAAAATATAATGTGAAAAAACTTTTAAGAACAGTGTAGCCTGCAATATACACATTATCAATTCAAAATTCTAAATCAGAGAAAAGAATAATGAAACAATTATTTTAAATAAAATACTATGTAAAGAAAAAAGAAATAGGGGTAGGTAATTCTGAAAACAGTTCATTGTCTCTGCCTGCCCTCTCCCAACATTCCCTGCCAAACATCAAATCAGGTTTGATACATTATTCCCCTATAATAAAAATAATTGTTTTTATTGTATTTCTCACTTGCACTAAACAGCCGCCTTCAAGGTCAGACAGGGAATGGTGTGTGTGTGTGTGCATGCGCGTGCACATGTACATGTGTGCATGTGTATGTGTGTGTGCATGTGCACACATACCAGTCAGGGAAAGTATATAATAAAGCAAAGTAAAGGTCACTTTTCCACACCTTTGGGCATATAGGGCTAGACCTATATTTTTATAAACCAATCAGCACAAGATGGGTGATGTGGTCAGAAACACACCGACCACCTTTACTTCCCAGGCCTGCACCCAGTACCCACTCAAGGCTGGGTCAACCTGGAAGTCAAGGTCATTTTTGAAAAAAGTCCGGCTCCACCAGGGAGCGAACCCACAACCTTCTGATTTACATGCAAGCGGCGTCTAGCCGCTAGGCCATAGTGACTCCCAGACTTTATATATATATATATATACACACACACACACACAAATACATGCAAACAGTTATTTTGAAAAGATGAGCAAACAAAACAATACATTGAATCTAACAAATATAGTGAGCTATTGAGCAGATTCTGGTGTGACGCTGACCATACCACCCATTGTCTGCCGTTTGGTCGATACAATAGAGGTCTAGCCCTGTATGCCCACTACATCTGAAGGCGTGAAAAAAGCTCCAATGAGCTGCATTTGGCAGATTATGATTAGTTATCATTTAAAAACAAAAAAATGTAACAGATCAGTTTACCTTTTAAGGAAACAATTTTGATTGCCAAACAAATACAAAGAAAGAAATGATAAAATGCATTAGCAAGGAAATATCAGCTTTTAAAAACTCCACAAAATAGAGAGCTCTAAATTGTTAAAAAAAAAAAAAAAAAAAATTATATATTTTCAATTTTAAAGTTAATTTGTTTCTAACATATGCCAGTAAAAATTGTAGAATTAATACAGAACTGGTACAAAAGCTGATAGCATTCAAAAAGAAACACATGAGCAATGTATAAACATTAAATGGATGAATTCAAAGAAGAAGAAAATTCAGAGAAATATCTGAACAATCACTGGCATCAACAGCTGTGAGAGAAAGAAAAATTGGATACATTGAGTGTATAATGAGACAATGAACTTCAAAGTAGGCAATGAAATGGGAAACAAATAGAGGACATCCAAAACAAACTATATGATAAAAATTGATAAGAAAGGTCAGGGGTCCCAAATAAATTCTATAAACAACATCAAAAGGATTGCACATGATACAGCAGAATGGCGGAATCAAATGTGAAATTTAAACAGCAAAGCTAAATGATTATAATTAAGCTAAGAATTCATCACCATCATTAACTGTAAAGGTAAAAGGTAAAGTCAGGAATTGGGGACAAGAGTCATTGCATACAGTTATAAACCCTACGTGCTCTGTCACCAGTACGGACAGCTGAGAAGAAACTGTCCGCCTGTGTCGCCGTCCACATGTAAGTCTATAGCTACAGCGACGTTCCTCCATTTACCCCAGAGTGTCCTCTGGTGCCCATTTCCTAGAGGCTGGGTGAACCCCAGGAACCACCCGGTTTCGAACACTGACCGTGGCTGCAGCGAGTCGCAACTGGATTTAAAAGCGAGCCTCTAATCGGCTGTGCTAACGCGGCTCATAGCTGTAGTCAGTGGTCAATGTAAAGGAGATTAGCTATAGTCAGTGGTCTATGTAAAGGAGATTAGCTGTAGTCAGTGGTCAATGTAAAGGAGATTAGCTGTAGTCAGTGGTCAATGTAAAGGAGATTAGCTGTAGTCAGTGGTCAATGTAAAGGAGATTAGCTGTAGTCAGTGGTCAATGTAAAGGAGATTAGATTTAGTCAGTGGTCACTGTAAAGGAGATTAGATTTAGTCAATGTAAAGGAGATTAGCTGTAGTCAGTGGTCAATGTGAAGGAGATCAAATTTAGTCAGTGGTTGAGGTAAAAGGAACATTAGCTATAGTCAGTAGTCAATGTAAAGGAGATTAGCTGTAGTCAGTGGTCAAAGTAAAGAAGACTAGCTGTAGTCAGTGGTCTATGTAAAGGAGATTAGCTGTAGTCAGTGGTCTATGTAAAGGAGATTAGCTGTAGTCAGTGGTCAATGTAAAGGAGATTAGCTGTAGTCAGTGGTCAATGTAAAGGAGATTAGCTGTAGTCAGTAGTCAATGTAAAGGAGATTAGCTGTAGTCAGTGGTCACTGTAAAGGAGATTAGCTGTAGTCAGTGGTCAATGTAAAGGAGATTAGCTGTAGTCAGTGGTCAATGTAAAGGAGATTAGCTGTAGTCAGTGGTCAATGTAAAGGAGATTAGCTGTAGTCAGTGGTCAATGTAAAGGAGATTAGCTGTAATCAGTGGTCAATGTAAAGGATATAAAATTTAGTCAGTGGTTGAGGTAAAGGAGATTAGCTGTAGTCAGTGGTCAATGTAAACGCGATTAGTTATAGTCAGTGGTCATTGTACAGTCATTAGTTAGACAAAAATAAACAAAGTCACACTTACTCTAAAGGTTTGCGTTTTTCCACAGGTGTCACATTCCTGGTTTTCTGGACCAGCACTCTCATAAATGTCTTCTCTGTAGATGGTGGACGTGGAGGCCATATCTGCCCAAATAAAAACACTTAACGATCAAGTTAATATTTATTTTTATGTTAGTTGAGTTTAGAGCTGATATTACAGAACTTGGCAAATTTCATAAGTGCTCTATCCCCATCTTAAGCAGCCACAGAAGATTTCTAATGGTGATGGTCCCAGTAGCCATTTGATTATACAGATGTCTGGCCTTTCCTCTGGGTTTAAAGTGTCTGCCAGAACTCCTGGTCACTCCCCTCTAAATAAATTCTTCCACACTGTAATGATCTATGTGTGCCTTCACACTGTTCACATGTTCCTAAAGGACCTTGACCACATCTAGCTTGTGGTGCAGCACCAGCCAATCTGACTGTTCATTTTCCAACACACTTGTATCCCCTATAGAAGAGATTCAAAGTAGGTTTACTATCAAGGATTCTTTTTTGAATGTGAAGACAACATGAAAAAATCCTAAAATTAATGTGTACATAAACTCACAAACATTAAAAGTGAACTACCAGGACACATGGGTTCTGGAGCCATACTGAGGCTGGGTGGGGAAAAGGGGGATGCATGTACTGCTCCCATGCAAGCATGTTGTAAAATGTGAATAATTAGGGATGTTTTCTTTAAAGGGAAAGGGCACTAGCCTGAGAGATATAAATAACCAACAGTATGCATACAAATAAGCAGATAGGTAAAACAGATGTGCACAAAAGAATCAAGTTCTAGAACAAGAACCAAAGTCTAAAACTGGATAAAATGCCAGAACTTTCTGCTTGAGTTTACAACTGGTCAATACTAAGAAGAAAATATGAATTAGCAAATTATATTTAACTATTTCTGGTGATAAGGAGCAGCTGGCCAAATAGTTAAGGCGGGAGACCCAGGTGAAACCCGGTTCGAATCCTCAGTAAGGTTGTGGATTTTTGCATTTTGGTAGCAAACATTAAATCCTAACCTACACAATCTGTGGCAACAGCTCTAGCCACGCAGCCATGCCATGCAGCCCTAGCCATGCAGCCCTAGCCATGCAGCCCTAGCCATGCAGCCCTAGCCATGCAGCTCTAGCCATGCAACCCTAGCCATGCAGCAGCCCTAGCCATGCAGCCCTAGCCATGCAGCCCTAGCCATGCAGCCCTAGCCATGCAGCAGCCCTAGCCATGCAACCCTAGCCATGCAGCCCTAGCCATGCAGCCCTAGCCATGCAGCCCTAGCCATGCAGCTCTAGCCATGCAGCAGCCCTAGCCATGCAGCCCTAGCCATGCAGCCCTAGCTATGCAGCCCTAGCCATGCAGCCCTAGCCATGCAGCAGCCCTAGCCATGCAGCAGCCCTAGCCATGCAGCCCTAGCCATGCAGCACTAGCCATGCAGCCCTAGCCATGCAGCAGCCCTAGCCATGCAGCCCTAGCCATGCAGCCCTAGCCATGCAGCCCTAGCCATGCAGCCCTAGCCATGCAGCCCTAGCCATGCAGCCCTAGCCATGCAGCCCTAGCCATGCAGCAGCCCTAGCCATGCAGCCCTAGCCATGCAGCAGCCCTAGCCATGCAGCAGCCCTAGCCATGCAGCCCTAGCCATGCAGCAGCCCTAGCCATGCAGCCCTAGCCATGCAGCAGCCCTAGCCATGAAGCAGCCCTAGCCATGCAGCAGCCCTAGCCATGCAGCCCTAGCCATGCAGCAGCCCTAGCCATGCAGCAGCCCTAGCCATGCAGCAGCCCTAGTCATGCAGCCCTAGCCATGCAGCCCTAGCCATGCAGTACTAGCCATGCAGCCCTAGCCATGCAGCCCTAGCCACGCGACCCTAGCCATGCAGCCCTAGCCACGCGACCCTAGCCATGCAGCCCTAGCCATGCAGCAGCCCTAGCCATGCAGCAGCCCTAGCCATGCAGCAGCCCAAGCCATGCAGCAGCCCTAGCCATGCAGCCCTAGCCATGCAGCAGCCCTAGCCATGCAGCCCTAGCCATGCAGTCCTAGCCATGCAGCAGCCCTAGCCATGCAGCCCTAGCCATGCAGCCCTAGCCATGCAGCCCTAGCCATGCAGCCCTAGCCATGCAGCAGCCCTTGTCATGCAGCCCTAGCCATGCAGCAGCCCTAGCCATGCAGCCCTAGCCATGCAGCAGCCCTAGTTATGCAGCAGCCCTAGCCATGCAGCAGCCCTAGTCATGCAGCAGCCCTAGCCATGCAGCAGCCCTAGCCATGCAACAGCCCTAGTCATGCAGCAGCCCTAGCCATGCAGCCCTAGCCATGCAGCCCTAGCCATGCAGCAGCCCTAGCCATGCAGCCCTAGCCATGCAGCCCTAGCCATGCAGCCCTAGCCATGCAGCCCTAGCCATGCAGCCCTAGCCATGCAGCAGCCCTAGCCATGCAGCCCTAGCCATGCAGCAGCCCTAGCCATGCAGCCCTAGCCATGCAGCAGCCCTAGCCATGCAGCAGCCCTAGCCATGCAGCAGCCCTAGTCATGCAGCAGCCCTAGTCATGCAGCAGCCCTAGCCATGCAACAGCCCCTAGTCATGCAGCAGCCCTAGCCATGCAGCCCTAGCCATGCAACAGCCCTAGTCATGCAGCAGCCCTAGCCATGCAGCCCTAGCCATGCAGCAGCCCTAGCCATGCAGCAGCCCTAGCCATGCAGCTCTAGCCATGCAGCAGCCCTAGCCATGCAGCCCTAGCCATGCAGCAGCCCTAGCCATGCAGCAGCCCTAGTTATGCAGCAGCCCTAGCCATGCAGCAGCCCTAGTCATGCAGCAGCCCTAGCCATGCAGCAGCCCTAGCCATGCAACAGCCCTAGTCATGCAGCAGCCCTAGCCATGCAGCCCTAGCCATGGAGCCCTAGCCATGCAGCAGCCCTAGCCATGCAGCCCTAGCCATGCAGCCCTAGCCATGCAGCCCTAGCCATGCAGCCCTAGCCATGCAGCCCTAGCCATGCAGCCCTAGCCATGCAGCAGCCCTAGCCATGCAGCCCTAGCCATGCAGCAGCCCTAGCCATGCAGCCCTAGCCATGCAGCCCTAGCCATGCAGCAGCCCTAGCCATGCAGCAGCCCTAGCCATGCAGCAGCCCTAGTCATGCAGCAGCCCTAGTCATGCAGCAGCCCTAGCCATGCAACAGCCCTAGTCATGCAGCAGCCCTAGCCATGCAGCCCTAGCCATGCAACAGCCCTAGTCATGCAGCAGCCCTAGCCATGCAGCCCTAGCCATGCAGCAGCCCTAGCCATGCATCAGCCCTAGCCATGCAGCTCTAGCCATGCAGCAGCCCTAGCCATGCAGCCCTAGGGATGCAGCAGCCCTAGCCATGCAGCAGCCCTAGCCATGCAGCAGCCCTAGTCATGCAGCAGCCCTAGTCATGCAGCAGCCCTAGCCATGCAACAGCCCTAGTCATGCAGCAGCCCTAGCCATGCAGCCCTAGCCATGCAGCCCTAGCCATGCAGCAGCCCTAGCAATGCAGCCCTAGCCATGCAGCAGCCCTAGCCATGCAGCAGCCCTAGCCATGCAGCAGCCCTAGCCATGCAGCAGCCCTAGCCATGCAGCAGCCCTAGCCATGCAGCCCTAGCCATGCAGCCCTAGCCATGCAGCAGCCCTAGCCATGCAGCCCTAGCCATGCAGCAGCCCTAGCCATGCAGCAGCCCTAGCCATGCAGCAGCCCTAGCCATGCAGCAGCCCTAGCCATGCAGCAGCCCTAGCCATGCAGCCCTAGCCATGCAGCAGCCCTAGCCATGCAGCAGCCCTAGTCATGCAGCAGCCCTAGCCATGCAGCAGCCCTAGTCATGCAGCAGCCCTAGCCATGCAGCCCTAGCCATGCAGCCCTAGCCATGCAGCAGCCCTAGCCATGCAGCCCTAGCCATGCAGCCCTAGCCATGCAGCCCTAGCCATGCAGCCCTAGCCATGCAGCAGCCCTAGCCATGCAGCAGCCCTAGCCATGCAGCAGCCCTAGCCATGCAGCCCTAGCCATGCAGCAGCCCTAGCCATGCAGCAGCCCTAGTCATGCAGCAGCCCTAGTCATGCAGCAGCCCTAGCCATGCAACAGCCCTAGTCATGCAGCAGCCCTAGCCATGCAGCCCTAGCCATGCAACAGCCCTAGTCATGCAGCAGCCCTAGCCATGCAGCCCTAGCCATGCAGCAGCTCTAGCCATGCAGCAGCCCTAGCCATGCAGCTCTAGCTATGCAGCAGCCCTAGCCATGCAGCCCTAGCCATGCAGCAGCCCTAGCCATGCAGCAGCCCTAGCCATGCAGCAGCCCTAGCCATGCAGCAGCCCTAGCCATGCAACAGCCCTAGCCATGCAGCCCTAGCCATGCAGCCCTAGCCATGCAGCCCTAGCCATGCAGCAGCCCTAGCAATGCAGCCCTAGCCATGCAGCAGCCCTAGCCATGCAGCAGCCCTAGCCATGCAGCAGCCCTAGTCATGCAGCAGCCCTAGCCATGCAGCCCTAGCCATGCAGCCCTAGCCATGCAGCCCTAGCCATGCAGCAGCCCTAGCCATGCAGCCCTAGCCATGCAGCAGCCCCAGCCATGCAGCAGCCCTAGCTATGCAGCAGCCCTAGCCATGCAGCAGCCCTAGCCATGCAGCAGCCCTAGCCATGCAGCAGCCCTAGCCATGCAGCAGCCCTAGCCATGCAGCAGCCCTAGCCATGCAGCAGCCCTAGTCATGCAGCCCTAGCCATGCAGCAGCCATAGTCATGCAGCAGCCCTAGCCATGCAGCCCTAGCCATGCAGCAGCCCTAGCCATGCAGCAGCCCTAGCCATGCAGCAGCCCTAGCCATGCAGCAGCCCTAGCCATGCAGCAGCCCTAGCCATGCAGCAGCCCCAGCCATGCAGCCCTAGTCATGCAGCCCTAGCCATGCAGCCCTAGCCATGCAGCAGCCCTAGCCATGCAGCCCTAGCCATGCAGCAGCCCTAGCCATGCAGCAGCCCTAGCTATGCAGCAGCCCTAGCCATGCAGCAGCCCTAGCCATGCAGCAGCCCTAGGCATGCAGCAGCCCTAGCCATGCAGCAGCCCTAGTCATGCAGCAGCCCTAGCCATGCAGCAGCCCTAGCCATGCAGCAGCCCTAGTCATGCAGCAGCCCTAGCCATGCAGCAGCCCTAGCCATGCAGCCCTAGCCATGCAGCAGCCCTAGCCATGCAGCAGCCCTAGCTATGCAGTCCTAGCCATGCAGCAGCCCTAGCTATGCAGCCCTAGCCATGCAGCAGCCCTAGCCATGCAGCAGCCCTAGCCATGCAGCAGCCCTAGTCATGCAGCAGCCCTAGCCATGCAGCAGCCCTAGCCATGCAGCAGCCCTAGTCATGCAGCAGCCCTAGCCATGCAGCCCTAGCCATGCAGCAGCCCTAGCCATGCAGCAGCCCTAGCCATGCAGCAGCCCTAGTTATGCAGCCCTAGCCATGCAGCAGCCCTAGTCATGCAGCAGGCCTAGCCATGCAGCCCTAGCCAGGCAGCAGCCCTAGCCATGCAGCCCTAGCCATGCAGCAGCCCTAGCCATGCAGCAGCCCTAGCCATGCAGCAGCCCTAGCCATGCAGCCCTAGCCATGCAGCAGCCCTAGCCATGCAGCCCTAGCCATGCAGCAGCCCTAGCCATGCAGCAGCCCTAGCCATGCAGCAGCCCTAGCCATGCAGCCCTAGCCATGCAGCCCTTGCCATGCAGCAGCCCTAGCCATGCAGCCCTAGCCATGCAGCAGCCCTAGCCATGCAGCAGCCCTAGCCATGCAGCAGCCCTAGCCATGCAGCCCTTGCCATGCAGCAGCCCTAGCCATGCAGCCCTAGCCATGCAGCAGCCCTAGCCATACAGCAGCCCTAGCCATGCAGCCCTAGCCATGCAGCAGCCCTAGCCATGCAGCAGCCCTAGCCATGCAGCAGCCCTAGCCATGCAGCAGCCCTAGCCATGCAGCAGCCCTAGCCATGCAGCAGCCCTAGCCATGCAGCCCTAGCCATGCAACCCTAGCCATGCAACCCTAGCCATGCAGCCCTAGCCATGCAGCCCTAGCCATGCAGCCCTAGCCATGCAGCCCTAGCCATGCAGCTCTAGCCATGCAGCCCTAGCCATGCAGCCCTAGCCATGCAGCCCTAGCCATGCAGCAGCCCTAGCCATGCAGCAGCCCTAGCCATTCAGCAGCCCTAGCGATGCAGCAGCCCTAGCCATGCAGCAGCCCTAGCCATGCAGCAGCCCTAGCCATGCAGCAGCCCTAGCTATGCAGCAGCCCTAGCCATGCAGCAGCCCTAGCCATTCAGCAGCCCTAGCCATGCAGCAGCCCTAGCCATGCAGCCCTAAGCCTCCAGGCTCCAAGAACCTCCTGCCTACACCTCAAACATGGTTAAAACTCTTTGCGTCCCAGGGGGTTTAGCATCAGAGGCCCCGCAGGTAGTAAAGAAAGTCATAAAATCGGCGCATCATGCGTTTATTGGGCTTCTAGGTAGGAACCTATAAACGTATGATACGTTCCTTGGGACTCAAAGAGTTAATGGCAGACTGGTGATTATTTCTGATGACAGCCAGAACACAGTAAATAGTCTGCACGCTGGTAGACTACACTCACCCCTTTTCCCAGCACCCGTCTCTAAGATATTATAAATTACGGAAAAAGGGGGGGGGGGATGTAGAGGAAGCTCCAGAGTGACTCAAAGAAGAATATTCATGTGTTAGCTCATTATTACTGGGTACAAATTCTCTTTCTATGCCTGTTTTTCTCCTCCTTCTTTTGGAGATTTTGGCATAATGACATGGAAGATCATCTATATAGGAATTTTTGAAAGTACACGAGATAGAAGGCTGAGGAATATATAACTGATTAAAAGCATACTTTTGGCAGTTCCTCTGATTTAATCTGTAATTTTTCAATCTCTTCATTCCAGATGACATCTTTTGATGAGGTTGAGGCTTCATCCTGTTCCTGCGAGGGTGTGGCCGACTTTTCTGGAGTTCCTTCCCTCTTTTTCCGTGTGCGATCTGAGGATAAAACCGCCACAAGAATCAGAAAATAATTCATATGAGGACAAGGAAGACATCAGAGACACAAGAACCTGTGCAGGCT